GCATCACCTGAGGTAGGAGTTCAAGACCAGCCTGGCCAACATGGTGAAACCCTGTCTCTATTAAAAATAAATAAATTAGCCAGGCATGGTGGTGGGCAGCTGTATTCCCAGCTACTTTGGAGGCTGAGGCAGGAGAATCACTTGAATCCAGGAGGTGGAGGTTGCAGTAAGCTGAGATCACACCACTGCGCTCCAGTCTGGGCAACAAGAGCAAAACTCTGTCTCAAATTAAAAAAAAAAAAAGTCCTCAAAATCCAGTGTCCTTTCTGTTCTAGAACCACGACCAGCCTGACGAGTCGAGCCTTTCCTTAGATCAGACCTTTACAATAACCACTTAGTGTCCTGGCTCTGAAAACTCCTCCTTTGGTCTTTGTCTTAGTTGGCCACCTTGGCCTCTCTTTGCTGGGCCTTCTCCCTCCCCAGCCCACTTACCTCAGCAGGGGTCTTATTTCCCAGCTGCTAGGAGATGATGCTGAAGGTCTGTGGCTGTGCCCCTTGTTCCTGGCACATGGTGAGGATCACACGGTCAGCTTCCCTGTAACCCGGGTATCATGGTTAATCCTAGGGAGCCACATGGATGTGGTCTATGCTCTTTTCCAAACACGTCACCCACCCATACCTACCTTGTCCATAGGACCACCTTTTCCCCCGTGGAGCTGACCTTGCTGTTGTTGGCACACACTGTAGCTTCTGTGGCCTTTGGCTGCTGCTCCCCCTCTGGACCCTTGCCCTGTGTTCCACTGTCTTTAGCCAAACCCCCTCTAGGGGCTTTGGGAGAAGTCTCTGAGGTGTCAATTCCTGATGGAGATTCATGAACAGGGGACGTCCTGTCTCTTGTCTTCACCCTAGCTCTGCTTGAGGGCAGCCATCTCTCTTGAGTGTCTGGTTTCCCGGACACATGTCTTCTCCCTGCATCTCTGGTCTTTGAGGAAACAGGACTCAGGAAGGAAGCAGGGGGTTCCACGGTACCAGGCAATTTCTCAGTTTCGGATGCATCCCAGACCAGCATCAAAGCCTCGGACTCACCCACTGCCTTTTGGCCCTCTCTTTCTGAAGTCTGGGGGATGCCTTGGGGCAGGGGAGAACCTCAGGCCCAACCTGGTTTCTCTTAACAGTGTATAGTACAGCTCCAGTTTTGGGGGGAAACTGAGGAGTCTCTGGTGAATGAGGTGGTGGGCCATCGAGGAGCCGCTCTGTAAGAGTCACTTCTCGAGGGGACGGCAAAGTGCCCCCGACTGCCAATCCTGCTCAGGAGGAAAATAAGGATCTCAGGGTACTGTCAGGATCGAGATGCACCTAAGCACGAGAAATTACCACAGGGTCACTGTGGCCAGGTACTGTATGAAAATTCTCCTACAAGAGGGCCGGCATGGTGACTCACACCTATAATGCCCGCACATTGGGAAGCCAGGTGGTGGGATCGTTTGTTGCCAGGAATTTGAGACTAGCCTGGGCAATTTGGTGAGACCTCCATCTCTACAAAAAAAATATAAATAATAGGCCAGGCATGGTGGCTCACACCGTAATCCCAGCACTTTGAGAGGCCAAGATGGGTGGATCACGAGGCCAAGATCGAGACCACCCTGGCCAACATGGTGAAACCCCGTCTCCACTAAAAATACAAAAACTATCTGGGTGTGGTGGCGCACGCCTGTAATCTCAGCTACTCGGGAGACTAAGGCAGGAGAATCACTTGAACCCAGGAGGCAGAGGTTGCAGTGAGCTGAGATCGTGCCACTGCACTCCAGCCTGGTGACAGAGTGAGACTGTCTTAAAAAAAAAAAAAAAAAAAAAAAAACAAGACAGGATCCTCTGTAGTTTCAGATACTTGGGAAGCTGAGGCACAAGAATTGCTTGAACCTGGGAGGTGGAGGTTACAGTGAGCCAATATTGTGCCACTGTACTCCAGCCTGGACGAAAGTGAGACTCCATCTCAAACAAAAAAATAAAAAGAGAGAGAGACAAGGTCTCACAGATGATCTTGCCCAGGTTGGAGTCCAGTGGCTATTTACACAGGTATCATCGTGGTGGTACACTATAGCCTCAGACTCCTGGGCTCAAGTAGTGATCCTTTTGCGTGAGCCTCCTGAGTGCCCCTTTGCCCAGCTACTGCTCCAAGGATTTTATTTTTTAATTTAGTTTTTTGAGACAGGGTCTCACTCTGTCACCCAGGCTGGAGTGTAGTGGCTTGATCATGGCTGACTGCAATCTCCGTCTTCCTGCTCCAGGGATTTTAAATGTCGCAGAGAAGAGTATTGGATTCCAAAACTCCTTTTCTTACCAATGAGTGTGTTTTTGCTGCCAACCAGCACTACTCTAGAGAACCAGGGTTACTTGTAGAGACTGTTTTCATGGTTTATTTCATTTTCTTTCTTTCTTTCCTTCTCTTTCTTTTCTTTTATCTGACAAGTTAGTGATAGATGTATGGTAAGTTCTGAAACAATTTCTCTCTCTGTAGTCCTTATTTTTATTAAAAGCAACTCATAATAGGACTGAGCTGTTCACAAAATAGACTTTAGTCTTGTACTTGGCCTGATTATTTGCATAAAGTGTAACAAAAATAATTTTTAAAAAATCAACTCTATATAGGCTTTTAAAATTTTTT